TGAATGTCATTGTGGCTTATGGAACTCCTAAGGAGATCATGGCACTTAGAAACCAGCAAAGACAGTGATTAGATCAACAATGGATATCATAAACAGCGACGCCCCCTGACCTTTTTGCGCATGCGCCGCTATTTTATCGCGCTAAGCGGCAGTAATGCTTCTCCTCCGTGTCCGAGGATTGTTGGTGGTCTGTGTCTGGTGGAGCTGTGGTAAGGCAGTGTACAGTCATGATGATGGATTAATAGTGTGGTGTTTCTATCCAGTGAGCTCTTCCGAGTTCGGACCAGATAATTGCACTGCAACTGTAGCAATCAATACAACACTGTCAAATACAGCCACTGTCTATGTTCCCTCTGGAACTGCGTGTTTTGAGTGCATCATTGATGGAGTGATAGCTACTGATGCCACGTTCTGATAGGCAACTCGCCAGTCAGTGAGGGATCAGTAGTGAATGGTACACTAGTAGTGTCTGACACTGAGAGTGTCTTCAGTACATCCACTAATGTACGATGTAGCAGTGGTGGTGTGACTAATCGAGTCACTGTGGAGCACACCAGTAAGTAATGTGTGGGACATATTAATTGTATACTAACTGCAGCAACTTTCAAGTTCTCAGACCTCCCCTGATCACGGGAGATGCTACAGTCAATGAAGGGGATACACTACGTCTGATGTGTAACTCTAACAACTCCAGACCACTACCTCTTGTCCAGTGGTTCTCTCCTGATGGAGATTTCCTCGATTATGGTTCACCCCTTGTGATCAGTAACATCACAAGGAACTTGGCAGGGATCTATACTTGTGTAGCCGACCAGTTTACAGCCACAATGAACAGCTCTGTGGAGATCATAGTCCACTGTAAGTAACCATGGCTTGTTTTTTTAGGTTAGGTTATATATTATTTCTTCAGTCCCCTGTGACGAGCTAAAGTCTACTGACATTATCATAGTCAACATGAGCTCCACTGCAGTGGGCAGTACTGCTACCTATCAGTGTAGAGATGGTCCCACTGATGTGTACACTACTCAGTGTACCAATACTGGAGAATGGGACCCTCACCCTTATACACTGGACTGTAATACTGATCCAGGTTTGTAGATGCCACACAGCCCTGCATATATATTCCGAATGAATAACAACATTGTTATGTTTGATCCAAGCTACACACTCTATATATACTACAGGTGTGTCATCTGGTAAAGGAGGTGTTGGACTACCAGCCATTCTTGGGGTGGCTATTACTCTTCTTCTCGTCGTAGTACTCTGCACTACTACAGTTGTTGTAGTGGTGTTTGTTCTAAGGAGACGGACAAGTAAGCCGCTGACCCACAGTTTTTAGAGACGTTGTCTTAGGATAGACACAAGTACAAACGCTTACTAGTAGCACGTGCTGTGAAAGGCCGTCAGCCCACTAGCCAGTCTGTGGTCCCATCCAATACAATATATGCAGGTATCAAAAGATGCTACAAGCAAAGTTACAAAAGGTGAAAATACACAAATGCATGGCATTTTACGATTGCATATTTGGTATGTATGGCCCTGGACTCTAAAAAACAACGGATGAGAAATTCAAAAGTGTCAACAGGGAACTAGCTACCATGTCTTGCAGCTAGCTATTTATACATCAGTCTCCTATAGGTTTGAAAAGCACTCATTTTTGTATATACCTATATAGACCATGGGTGCAACATCAACATGAGGGATGCACAAACAGCTAGTTTCATATACATACATAGCCTTTTGTTTATAGTTACTTCATATTCGTGTGGTATATAGTGACACAGAAAGTGTTGGAGAGGTGTCTGAAGAGAGAGGTAAACAAGAAAGCTCATTGGAGCTACAGCAGACGACAGCACCATGCTCGGTTATTCAGACAGTACCACTAGAGACAACAGAGCTCAATGGACAGTACTCTCTGGTCGAAGCAAAACCACAGGAGACCACGGAGCCACACACACCGTTGTATTCAGTGGTCCAAACCAAAGAGCTGCCATTCCAAACAGACCCACAACAGTCCCAATACCCCAATGCAGTGGTCCAAAAGAAGCCAAAACAGACCAAAGAACTGCCCGTTGAACCACATAATACCACAGAACTCAATGACCAGTACCCTGCAGTCCAAGAAGCAGCAGTCACAAAGGGAAAAGACATGGAGACGAGGAAAGAGGTAGCTAGTGTTTACTTACCTTGTCAAAATGCTCACAATATGGGAAGAATTTTATAACGATAATCGGAAACATCCAAAGAATTGTGTCCTTTTAGTTTCATAGTCGCCTGCTAATCACGCATTTTCCTTCCGCAGAAAATGTGTGTGTGTATACTGATAATACCCCATCCACACAACTACCTCCCGTGCCTCCACACACTGTCAAGGTTAGCTAGGAAAAAGTGTGTTTATGCATCGTCCACTTTGGTTTTCACACTACCCCCAAAGAATTATAAGAGTCTGCACCATGTTATGCCATTCCTACGTCTATTTTCACTATGACGTTTGCATAACACACATAGAAGAAACATTTCATGTGTACCCAGAAGCACATCGTCTATTCTTGCGTGCTTTGATGTAGAAGCATGCACTGACTGACATAAATGTGCTTAAGTTAAGTTGTTAATTTTACCACAGCCAATATATCTACCCAATTTCTCTCTCTGCTATTGTCTTAGACCCTCGTCTATGCAGAGGTGGGTCCACACATCTCCCAGACTCGCAGACAAATGTTCAACCCCCAGTCAGACAGAGTCCAGTATGCCTCTCTGGATCACACTGCCACAGTGAGGGCAGTACCACCAGCAGCAGAGCCTCTGCAGGATCCAGGTCTGGATGACAAAGTGTTACAATTCAGAAGAAGCATAACTGCTGTATATGCTATTATGTTGCTTTCTACAGATTTGGAAGTGAGTCTGGACCAGATCCTCATTCAGTTGAGAGAAGTCACTCCTCACTGGAGGAGACTGGGAGAGGCAGTTGGTGTACAGAGGCTGGACGAAATATCTGAATATGTATGTAAACCATGGGAATAATGTATTGTCTTATTGTGATCTCTCTCTGTCTAGGTGGGTAGTGAGAGTGAGGCAATGGTGGAGGTGGTGGATGGATGGCTGGCCAACCTCCACCCCAACAAGCCCACCTGGAGGGAGATAGCTGATGTGGTGGACAGCATTGGTCACCATGACCTGGCTCACTCCCTCAGACAGGTCTACACATCAGGTGATTTGCCCCAAGTGTGCATGCTTTGGTAAAATGTGGTGTGAGACAGGTCTACGTCTCAGGTATACCAACTAACTACACTCATTCACAATGTTTCTAATTTGCTGTAATCCATGTTAATCCTTATGATCTAGTACATGTTGTTTTATGAAAGGTTCACTGCCAATAAAAGTGAGCAATGACCTGCCAGAGTCTCTGATGGTCAGAGAATTAACTCCAACTCCTCCACTTCCCCCTCGTGGAGCTGATGATGAACAACTCCCTCCACCGTTACCTGCAAGAACTTTTACATAGTCTTACTTAGCTGCTGTGTGCATAATATGAGTTTTTGACATTCGCCGCTCTATTGTCCGCGCCTATTGCGCAGTCAAATCTAGGGGTGAGGAAATTATGATTTGGGAATTTTTTGGGCTGCTCGAATCTTATCACCCGACATATGCGTGCGCGCGTATAATACGCGACTGGCTCGATTAGCTCAAACACTGTGAACACTCATTCGTCAGTTTCTGAGGTAGAGAGCGATACTTCTTCCACTTCTTGCTCCGCTACTCCGGCTCCATCGTTACTTGATTGACTCAACGCACCACAGAAATCTCAAAGATGGCCAACAGCGGAAATTTACAATAGACATACTAATTCCGTCAACCAAAAATGACATTGACTGTTTTTTTGCTTTGTGTTGTGTCAGAAATTTTAAGCATAATATTTAGTAACAAGAGGAGCATAAATTCAACATAATGGAAGAATCCAGGATTAGAATAAAACTCCTCGGCCTATATAGTCATGTCAGTCGCTTAACGCGCATGCGCAAATAACAATTGTTACGCCGCGCTGCGAAATCAGTGGTGGCCCGCTCGCTTTGCCCAACAAGGGCTAACTTGCAATGAAGCGCCATGTGCCACGTGGCTTCTTGATTAAGATTCGTTTAACTGTGTTGATATGCTGGATCTGGTGGCTATGTGGTAGGTTCATAGGTAGCTAGCTATGCTGGTTCAATGATTGTTCTTTCAGTGTACTCGTCTGGGTCAGGACCTGTGGGTTGTGGGACAATTGTGAACCTTACCAGTGTCAATAACACCATCATCTATGTGAATGCCTCCCTGGATACAATGTGCTTCGAATGTGACTACACACAATTATTCGGTCTCATTAGTGAGGTGGTGTTCGGGGTGAATGGTATAAATGTTACTTCCAACAGCACCCTGGGAAGAATCGTGAAGAAAAATACGCATAATTATTCAGATACACTGGTAGTGAATGGCAGTGGCAGTGTGTTCAGTACATTCTGGGATACAAACATACAATGCTGTGAGAAACGTTTTTGCAATGTGACCTTTTCATGGCAAAAGTAGGAGTGTTTGCTCTTTAAGGTATGTAACTACAGGAGATTTTAGTGTATCACTATCACTAAATTATCTCCACCAGTTTTCAACCCCCCATCCATTATGGGGGAAACAGCGGTTACTGAAGGAAGTGCGCTACATCTATTGTGTGATGGGTCAAACTCGGACCCTCAACCAATTTTACAATGGATCTCTCCTGATGGGAAGATGGTCAGTGAGAGTGGGGAACTTGATATAGTGACTACCACCAGGAATATGACTGGGATATACACCTGTGTAGCTACTCTCCCCCGCTCCACCGCTACTATGATCTCCACTGTCGATATTAAGATAATTCTGCCAAGTGAGTTTTAGTTCTAATTGTGTTGCCCTATTGTATTTGCACTTTATAGTTGACTGTCCAACACTGAAGTCAACAGACACCATCATAGTCAACATGAGCTCCACTGCAGTGGGCAGTACTGCTACCTATCAGTGTAGAGATGGTCCCACTGATGTGTACACTACTCAGGTACCAGTACTGGAGTATGGGACCCTCACCCCTCTCTACCTTGCACTGTACTGAGTCTAATGGGTCAGGTAAACATTTGTTTCTCCCCTGTTGTAGTTTGCAAAACAAACTGCTATTGTTTGTGCCGATAAAACCGCAACTGTTACAAACATGTTTATGTGCCTCACACAGGACAAACGTCTACTCTTCAACCATGTCAAATTGGAGTAATAATTCTCTCTCTCATTGTCTTGGTTCAAACTGGTCTGCTAGTGGGAGCACTTGTGAAAATAGTACTTCTTACAAAGAAAGGTGAGACATTTGCAAACTGTCCAACAATATCCGAACTATGATATAACTCCAACACAGGATCAGAGAAAAGACAAGAGAAGAGAGAGAGGTTGGAGATGGATGTCAACTTAGTATTGTGGCTTATGGTACTCCTAAAGAGATCATGGCACCGACAGACAAGCCGAGCAAACCTAAGTGAACTGCTTATTACATACAAGAAAACGGTGACAGCTGTATGCCCACTAACTTCAAAACACTAATATTTGCAGAGCAGAGGCATGACGCAAAAACAAAAATGTGACGACTCAACACATCAGCGCATGCAGCAAAATGGGACGATCGCGGAATGATCGCGGCTGGCTGAGGCGGTGCAAAAACTCGTGGAGGCACTATGAACGCCCCACTACTCTCACGATGCATGTCTAACGCTAATGGGGAGCTAGTGGGGGAAAGTGTGAAGCCGTTATGAAGCCCCACGTGCCCCGAGCCTTCTTGATTACGATTCGTTACCACTTGTGTGTTGAAATGATGGATCTGGTGGAGTGGGGTACTCCATAAGATATGCAGCTATGCTTGGTTCAATGTTGGCTTCAGTCTTACTAGTCTGGCAGGAAACGAGGATGGCGTGGGACCAACTGTGAACCTTACCATTGTCAATAACAGGCATCATCTATGTGAATGGCCTCCCTGGATTTACAGTATGCTTTGAATGTGCACACACAAGATTCGGTTTCATGAAGAGGTGGTGTTCAGGGGGAAGACAAGTGTTACTCAAGCAGACTATGGCAGGTGGCGGAGAATTATCCCACATAATATTCAGATACACTGATAGTGAATGACAGTGGCAGCAGTGTCAGGGCATTCTGACACACACATTACAATGTGTGAGGTTTTACCAATGTGGTTTCATGGTCATGGCAGTGGGCTATTTGTTCATGGTAAAAAGTTAGGAGTTTTGCACTTTAAAGGTATGTAAATTCAAGAGATTATAGTTGGTTTCACTGAGCACTAAAATATCTCCACCAGTTTTCAACCCTCCACTTAATTATGGGATAACAGAGGTGACTGAGGGAAGTCCACTACAATCATTGTTGTGATGGGTCAAACTAAGACCCTAACAAACTTGTACAATGGATCTCTCCTGATGGAATCGGGTCAATGGAGGGGGAACTTGATATAGGGGACTACCACCAGGAATATGACTGGGGGAATATACACCCTGTTTAGCTATCTCCCTAGCTCCACGCTACTATGAGCTCACTGTCGAATTAAGATAATTCTGCCAATAAGTTTTAGGTCTAATAGTGTTGTCCTATTTCTATTTGCACTTGATAGTTGACTGTCCACATGTGAAAGCAACTACGCAATCAAGTCAACATGAGCTCACTGCAGTGGGCAGTAATGCTACCTAATCGGTAGAGATGGTCCCACT